ATGATCGGGGGAATAGGCTTTCGACCGGGGTTGCAATTGATCTGTGTATTATATTCCTTGTCCTCTCCAAAGGGCAACCCTGCTTTCAACTTCATTTAACATGTAGGGTTCGGCTTTCGGGTCCGCTGTGCCGTACATGAGTAGTCTGATCTATGGGTCTGCACGGTACCTTTGAACGCAAGCGATGGGGTGGTCGGTGCTAGCGGCATGTACATGCATACCTCCCAGAACCAACCCTCATCCCTAAACCCCAAACCCTAAAATCCCCAACCCTCATGCCTGGATTCGCTTGCGCTTCTCGCGCACGCTCCTCGGCTGTTCGTGTTGTTCTCCGGGCAAGGGCTTTCGGTTTAAGGGTTCAGGGTGAAGGGTTGGTACTTCCGAGTGTATGGTTTAGGATTTAGATTATTGCGGCTTGGCGTCCTATTCGGGATTCCAGGACTCGCGGTTTTAGGGAATTCCGGTTTTCAGCTTTTTGTCAACCCCCTGCGAAACCTATCTCCTATCCTAAGTTGCCAAAAACAAACCCCCTCGATCCGAAATGGCCCAAGCGCTCAGGCCAATCCGAGGGTCTGGATGGAGTTGTCGCGATACAGGAGCATTCCAACGAAGAGCGCGGCCAACTGAGGGAGGTCTTAAGAAGGCTTCGGTGCTTTAGGGTTGGGGGTTTGAGTTGGCTCGCGGGGAAGGGGAATTTCTGGGGTTTCAGAACCTGGGATGGTAGCCACTGGATCTGCGGCAGCAGGTTTGTGGAGCAAATCAGGTGCTGGATGCACGCAAGAAGCTCTAAACCCTAAGCCCTCAAGGCCAATATATAATATATTATATATAATATATAATTTCTAATATAGAATATATTATATAGAATATAGCCCCGAAACCTCAGTTGACAACGATGTGTTTTTTAGCAGTCGGCCAGATGTCCAGGAAAGACTCGATGCTAGACCCTAAACACCAAACCCTTGACCTCGATGTTGTTTGGAGTCGCAACCTTCTGGCATGGCAAGTCAAGAGAGGATACGGCCTCTTCGGTTTTGCAGAGCTGGCATGTGCCTTAAACTACTTCTGTCGTGGGACATCCTGCCGCCGGTGCCCCAACTGCCCGGAACCTGAATCCACAAGCTCAAAACCGTGAAGCCGAAGCTCCAAACCTCTAAATCGACAGCCTTGGACTCTGAACCCTGCAAGCCCGAATCATGCACCCCTTAAAGCTGAGCCACCATACCATAAACCTGGAACCTGATCAGAAATTCCGAAAACTCAACCGCTTAAAGCCGTAAGCCTATAACCCTGGACTCCACAAGCCCTAAATGCCAACAAGCCGTCAGTCGAACTGAGGTCCGTTCCAAGCAGACGCCCTCAGTGAGAAGCAAAAGCAAGGGATTGCACACGAGTAGAGCCTGATTCCTACCCCAAGCTTACACTACCTTTAGGGTTTAGGGTTTAGGGGTTTAGGGGTCTAGGGTTTAGTCTTGAACTCCTGCACAACTGCAAGGCAAGATTCACAATAGCATTTAACAGTAGCAATAGCACAAGCAAGAGCAACAGCAAGAGCAAAATCTTTCGTAGTAACAACAGCAACAGACATGAAAACAGTAGTGGTATCAGCACTATCAATTGCAATGGCCATAGCAACAGCAAGAGTAAGCAATAGTCAGAGTAATACACATAGAAACAGTGGTGGTCAATAGCAATACTAAACACTAAGTCATCGTAATCGTCCTTGTTGGCGCCCGCATGAAAGTCCGCACAGCGACGAATTGCTCTCCACAGAGCCTGCAAATCCGTCTTGAGCAGGGTTAAACTGCCGTGTCCTGAGGCTACCATGACAGTCACTTTGGGCCATGTGCTGGCTGTGTTGTGAGCAGCGAGCACCTGACCAGGATCCCTTGCAACTTATAGCCAGCTTGTGCTGCAACTTCCACGAGGATTGCCGGGGTATGGCTTAGCGCTAGTGGCTGTCCTCCGGTAGCTGGAGATGCTACCTCAAAACACTACAAAAAGCTTGAAGAACGACTCTACGCCGATGGTAGCCGCAACCCAACGGTTGTATGTGCAAGCTGCAACGACCCTACGGGATCTCAGCAGGGCTTTGGGTTTTGGGCTAAGGGTTTAGGGTTCAGGGTGTAAGGGTTTTGGGCTAAGGGTTTAGGGTTCAGGGTGTAGGGGTTTAGGGCTTAGGGTTTAGGGCTTAGGGTTTAGGGTTTAGGGTCTAGGGTTTAGGGCTTAGGGTTTAGGGCACACTAGCTTCCAGAAGCCTGACATTGCCTCCCAATGGCCGGAAGACTCATGCCAAGATCCCGAAGGGAATTCTGAGAGCTTCATGCAAACGGTGGCCGGCGACCCTTTTCGGGACCTCAACACATTGGCTTCCGGACATAAAAAGCGGAAGTTTGTCCTGACGTTGCCAGCACATGCCCGGAATACAGATGCCAAGGCAAGGTCCCGAACGGGATTTTTAAGAGCTTTATGCACCTGGCCCCCCAACATCGCAGACAACAGCGACGGAGGCAGATCTTGCTGAAGAGAGCATGGCCCACACAGACATGCTCAGCAATGGCTACGGTTTGTAAGGCTTGTCACTGCGAAACCACGCGATTTTACGGAGAGCCCAGCTGAACTCCCTTGCTGGGGCTCTGGCTGAACCTAACCCCTCAGCTCTAAATGAAGCCTTAGGCTTTAGGGTTTAGGGTTATCGCCCCAACATGCCACAACCCACTCCTACTGGGGGTGCAGAACATTATGACATTAGTCAGGCGTGCCCGGGTGCTTGCTAGATGCCTGTACTAAGAACCCTATAGACCCTACGATCCAGATTCTTTTCTCAACCAACATAGCATGCCATGGATTTAGTCTAATGGTGATCCTTGCAGCATGTGCAGATCATGGCATACAAATCTAAAACACAATTTATTGCGCAACACGCCTGTCTCCAATCTAGCACGGAAATGCAGTAGCAACGAAACGTGAAATCCCTACACCTTAAGCCCTGAAGCAAAAAGACCAACAGTGTTTGTTTGCTGGGCCTAGTCTCCAGCAATAAGAAACTGAATCGGACAGCAGGGTTTGGCGAATTTCTAAACCCTACACCGTCAAGCTTCCTATGGTTGATGATATAAATCCCGCATTACCCACAATAAGGAATATACCATTCCCAGAGTTTAGGGTCCTTAAGTATGCAGGATTTATATCATCAACCGTAGTATGAGGGCCGAGGGCCTTAACTATTAGAATATGGTGTTTGGGCCAGGTTTTACGTGACAATTTCGGAAAGCCAATACTATACGGGAAAAATATTGCCAATCATTCAGGCCGCTAGTTACATGTTAATGCTACCAGGGTTTAGGGTTTAGGGTTTAGGGTTATTCTATAGGATTCCTTAATAGAGTAGAATTCTGTACACTAGTATACTATAAGATGCATCACAACTTCAGTGGGACATGCTTCCGACGTGCGTCACGGAGGGTGTGGCCTGCACAATGCGGACGAGACCTAAGTTGGCCCTTTAAAGCCTGAGAACCAGATTTCGTGAATCAGATCCGCTAAACCCTAAACCCCTAAACCATCCTAACTAAAACCCGCAAGACCCTGAACCCTACGGACCCCAAACCCGTAAGCCCAAAAAGGGAAAACAAATAAACCCTAAACCCTAAACCCAAACCCGTAAGCCCAAAAAGGGAAAACAAATTAACCCTAAACCCTAAACCCAAACCGGTAAGCCCAAAAAGGGAACAAAAATAAACCCTAAACCCTGAACCCTAAACCCAAACCGGTAAGCCCAAAAAGGGAAAACATATATTCCAAAGGCCTAACCCTATAGACCCATAACCCGTACGCCCAAAAAGGGAACAAAAAATATGTCCGAAACCCTAAATCCTACACCCTAAACCCTAAACCGGTAAGCCCAAAAAGGGAACAACAAATATATCCCAAACCCTAAACCCTAAACCCTAAACCCAAACCGGTAAGCCCAAAAAGGGAACAAAAATAAACCCTAAACCCCAAAAAAGGGCAAAACAAATATGTCCCAAAGGCCTACCTAGAGAACCCTATAGACCCCAATAAACCCGTAAGCGCAAAAAGATCCCAAAGGCCTACCAAGAGACCATCCTCGAAGGCGCGGAGGGCCTCCTGCAGGCGGTCCTGGACTCGTTTTGGAGTTTTTTTAGGTCCGGGGTTGTAGGGGTTTCGGGGTTTAGGG